GGACCAGGTCTCAACCAGGTCTAAAACAGGTTTGAACTAGGACTAAATCAGCAGGTCTGGACCAAATCTGAACCAGGACAAAAGCAGAATTTAACCAGATTTGGACCTGGTTTGAACAAGGACTAAACTAGCTGGTCAAAGAACAGGTATGAATGAGGTTTGAGGACTGAATATTCATATCATGAATTACTTTGAGCGCCTAGTCCTCATACACCTCAAGTTCTTCACCTTCTCCCTCTTGGACTCTCTACAGTTTGCCTAAAGAGCCAACAGATCTGCAGATGACGACATAAACCAGGCCCTCCACTTCATCTTACAGCACCTGGACTCCCTGGGATCCTACGCAAGGATCCTGTTTGTGGACTTCACCTCTTCAGTGGTAACAACCTGGAGCTGAACGCCCAGAAGACAGTGGAGATGATTGTGGACTTCAGGAAGAGCACTGTCCCCCCACCCCCACCCTCCGTGATGGACTCCCCCATCACCTCTGTGGAGTCCTTCCGTTTCCTGGGCACCACCATCACCCAGGACCTCAAGTGGGAGCCGACCATCAGCTCCCTCATCAAGAAGGCCCAGCAGAGGATGTACTTCCTGCGGCAGCTCAGGAAAGCCAAGCTGCAGTTCTACACGGCCATCATCGAGTCCATCCTCACCTCCTCCATCACCTCCTCCATCACCTCCTCCATCACCTCCTCCATCACCTCCTCCATCACCTCCTTCATCACCTCCTCCATCACCTCCTCCATCACTGTGTGTTTCGCTGGAGCCACAGTCAGGGACAAACAGAGACTACAGCGCATTGTGCGCTCTGCAGAGAAGGTGATTGGCCGCAGCCTCCCATTGCTGCAGAGGACACTTCCAACCCCTCTCACCCTGCACTTGGTCTGTTCCAACCTCTCCCCTCCTCCTGCCCGTATTTATGCTGTCACCTCACTGCACTGCTTAATGTCTATTGTGTGCACCGAGTGCACTTGTATATAGTAATAATTGTAATAATTTAAATGTTCGTATTTTAGAAATGAAGTTAGATTTTTATTGTGCTTTATTCTTTTCTCTACTTTTGACTTGTTTACACTGAGAGCCAAAGCAATGTCCTAGTCTGTGACTTCCTGTTACTTACATGGCAATAAAAATAATCTGATTCTGATTCTGATCATGAAATATAATTGTTCAATATAAAGAAAAATACTAATAACTTTTGGTGCATTTTTCATGAAGCAAACATTCAGGAAAGAGACCAATCAATCGAATGACAAAAGGTTTGAGCTAATAATTGTTTCTGCAGCATGCCTGTGTAGGAGGATGAAAAACAGAAATCACGTATCACGTTACTGAGCTGTTATTTTTAGCAAAGCCCATTGAATTTGCAGCTTTTTCACAGACAAAGCATAATTACCTCGGAAGTTGTCTTTAATGTTGATGTGTAGTGGCATTAAAGCTCCCTCTGTCAGAAAATGTTTTGTTAATAAAGAACAATGATGAGGTTTCAGGTGTGAGGGCTGAGATTTTTCAGTATATTAATTGAAATTGGATGTCATCTGAATCTTCTTGAGTAGCGGTGAGGAGGACAGTTAGAATGCTGTTTGTTTATATTATAAAAAGGCAATACATGCAAAATCATGCTTCATTCTAGATATTCTAATTTTGAGTTTCACCTGTGTTGACTTCAGTTGCTGTTCACTCTGTTGGCTTTTTTGAGGAGACAAAATTAGAGAATCATAACAGAATGAACTTTGATGAAGGAGGATCTAACTGGTTACTTGAGTGGACCAATCGGATGTTGATGATGGGAGAGGGGTGTGATGGGGGGTGGGGTAGGGGAGGAATGTCAAGGGCTATTTAATCTTTTTAGTCGAAGGAAACCAGAGCACACAAAGGAAGCAAACTAAGCCTATCTTTGAAGGCATAGAATTTCTGCAGTGAGCCAAAATGTTATGTTGACTTTTTACTTTAATAAGGCGGGCATTGAATGTGTGCTGAGGTATGGAATAGTGAGCTGGTTTGGTGATCTCACAGTGTAAATCAAAGATTCAAAGAAAGCAAAAAGCTTTACAAACATGGATGTGTCACTGTCCATTCTGATCACCCCTCTGACTACATTTATTTATTTATTTTCACATCATCACTCAGACAAAATACATTACATTTGTTGTGCATATCTTTGTGACACTTCCCGAAAAGCTCTACAAAGCTTATAACTAGGGTCCCACAGATCTGTCATCAGATCCGACTCACGTCATATGTACTGATGCAGTCATGGAGGAAGTACAAGATTCTACTGAATAGAAGCAGCAGGTGCAAAAAACTGTTTTAGTACATGTGTACTAAAACATAAAACTGTTGAAAAACATTGAGTGACGGAACATGGTTTTATCTTCTTGTCTTTTGTATGCATGTGGTGCTAAATTAAACTGAGAACATGCAAACTCCACTCAGGAAAGCCCAGTAGTTTGCATGTTTTCCCCACTCTTGTCTTTTCCATAATCCCATTTAAAGATAAGATAAACTTTATTGATCTCACAATGGAGACATTTGGCATAGATAGAATCACTCAGGGTGCACAAAAAGACAGGGAGCGAGCAAACATGTTAAAAAGTTAAAATATAGTCTCTTGTCCAAGATATGTACATTAAAATCATTCTGATTAAAAAAACAAAAACATGGTTGGCTGTTAGTTTGTAACAGAGCTGTTAGTTTTGGTTTGTAAAAGCCAAAAAGCTCCATGAGCATCTCTCATTCTCAATTGTGTTACCCAACCTTCACTTACCCAACCAACTGCCAGACGTCTTGTGAATTGGAAAATAATTGAGGACGCTGTTAAAGTGCAGCCATCATGCTTTGTAGGGCAGATATGCACCACACCAGAGAAGTCTATGCCTGCGAGCACCTGTGGAATATTCTAAAGCATTATCTGCTCACAGCACTCTGTTGCTTCAAGCTTTTTTAAAAGCTATATCCTTTTTTCCTCTGTCAAGCATTCAACAGAACCCCATGCAATTCTGCGGCTTGAACTTCAATTTGTAAACCTTTGCAAGCTGAAATTACAGTGAAATATATGACTGCAAAACACCTCACTATTGATTTGTACCCTCTTTGTGGTAAGCCTGGATTTAATGCCTTTGAGAATCACAGGAATCACTTATAGTCATTATCCGATATTGGATAAACTCCACTGCGGCATAAGATAGACAAACATACAGTCAATGAAATGAATTTATGTTGATTGAGCTTGGATTAAACCACCCTTTCGTTATTCCAACCACATATAATAGAAATAAAAATAATAATAATAATACATTTTATTTAAAAGTGGACACTGTATAAACATGGTTAAAAACAGAGTGCAATTACATTCATTAGCGTTAATAAAAAACAGAAAAAACCAAACCGGACAAAGGTGTTGGGGTGACTGGTCATGTGGGGAAAGAAAGTCTGAAAAGATGAGTTTTGAGTCTGGATTTTGAACAGGGGGAAGAGAGTCGGTGTTGTGGAGGTCAGGGGGGGAGCAAGTTCCAGAGTAACATATTTACAAATCTGAGTTCTGACTCGTATCTGACAGTGTGACCATGAACAACAAATAAACCCAACGGTCTTTGTGTATTATATTGATGAGCAATGATTGGCTACGCAGCCCAAGGTTTCAGCCAATTATTGAATAGACGTAAACAACAGGAGGGCTCCACGCAGAAGGAAGGGGAAGGGGGAGGCTGGCGGTAAAGACACACAAATGAGTTTCACATCCGGAGGTGGATCATATACAGAATGTTATGTATTTTCAGCCACAGGAATCAATAAAGTATGTATAATGTATATGCTTCTTTGATGTTCTATTATTATGCCCTCAGAATAGCTCCAAGTCAAGGATATTTGTCTTTGCATACTGTCAACCTTTCATATTGATGCAGTATGTTGACACAGATCTAACCACTTGATTTGCTGGCTCCCTAGTTTCCCCGGTGAAAAATGCACTATTTTTTGTGGTGCATTTGGGGAAAAATATCACAATGACTATTTGTATTGTTTGTCTGTGTGTGCAATGCTGTGTGTGACCAATAAGTTTGCTCCAACAGATTTGTCAAAAGTGGCAAACATTTTTGAGAAGGTATGAAGTAAAACTAATATTGAAACTATAGAAATAAAAGATATGTCCTTGAATAGTTCTTGATAAATGCTAATCTATAACAGAAACATGGGGTGATATAAAAATTTGTTACAGTTGAAAATGAATTTATGTTCCAACAGTGTATTCTTATGTAGCTGCCTGGTATACGAAATATACAATAATTTATTAAAATAGTAGCATAAGAAATTATTAGTAGCATGGGGTTTAAAACTCTTAATGTGGGTTTGAAAATGGAGATGAAAGCAATAAATAGTACAACAAAGAATGAGTTGAAAGCACAGCTAAACGGATATGTCAGGGTAGAGGCTTCATACAAGCCCTTGGTAAATATACCCATACATGTAATCACACAAACTACATCCCACAACCTGTACCTATTTCTACTGCAATGGTGCTATCTATTAATTACTTCCTACTTTGCACCCATGAACTTGTATTATTTTTGAATACCGTCCAACTATGCGTCATATAGCACACATCGCTGCTTTGGAAACACTGGTATGCCTGCCTCTTGAAAGATTAGAGGTTTTTATTGTCTGTTGTTTATTTTATTTTATTTGTTTTCTTGTCTTGTGATTTGGACCTCGAGTCCGCAAATAAAGTTATCTATCTATCTATCTATATTGCCGACCAGTCATCTTCCTCAGTGGGTCAATGCGTCACCCGAGGATGTCTGCTGAGGCCGTCCCCTCCTGTGCTGTCGATGTGGGAGCCTTGTTGGTGTGTATCCTCTTGAATTCACGGCTCATTTTTTCCCTTCTATTTCCTTCTCCCTGCAGTTGCCTTGTCCCCACAGCGGAGGAGAATGGAGAGGCTGTGGCTGTCTGTGCTCTTGCTAGTGGCAGTGTGCAGGGGCCAACCGTGCCCTAAGCGCTGCATGTGCCAAAGCCTCTCCCCTTCTCTCGCCATCCTCTGCTCCAAAACGGGCCTGCTTTTCGTGCCCGGCGCCATCGACAGACGCACCGTGGAGCTCCGGCTACAGGAAAACTTCATTACAGGTGAGCTTGGGTCGGTCGCAGTCTAATTATCCAATCAACGCTTAATCAAGAGCTGCCATTTAGATCACGACGCGCCGGGTAGAGAGCGCATTTATCTCTGTGTGAATGCACTCTTCCATTAGAGAATTCATTTGTGCTTTATTTGAGACCAGAACAATCAGGGAGTAGGATAAATATGCTATTCTTGTAGAAGAACGGAAGATGCAGCGCATAATTGACCCAAACTGGAGGAACTGAAGTTTGAAGCGATTATAATGACAAACGTAGCGCCGCCCCGGCGGTATGTTTTGTATCGTTTTGTCATTTACGTAGAGTGAATTGGATATTACTGTCAATTACATCCATAGAATTTGTTCAATGCATGATGTGCGTACAATAGCATGTTTATGACTTTAGTTTATGACTTTAGTGTTTTCACAACAATAGAAAAAACAACATCCTACTCAGAATGCAATATTTTAAGTTGTTTAAGTCGAGCATGGCCTGGTCTTGATTTTTGTCTCATGCGAAGCAGACACATCGTTCCTGCAAAGGTTACTTTTGCACAGAGACCAGCCTGTCCTTGAATTCTGACCTCACTAACACATTGAACAAAGGCCTTACTGATCATATAAGAACACTTTATGGAGATACTTATAAGAACACTTTTATGGAGATACACATCGCCCTACAGTTTAGCGGATGTGTCAGGGCTTGTAGTATCACCAAGTGAGGTGTGGGAGGCGGTCGTGAACCCAGGATTCGGCTTCATCCAATTTCACGAGAAAGCTTCTTTGCTTTTCTTCTTCTGCTGAGGGCAGCTACAGGTTTGGCTAACATACATGTAACACACTTTAAGATGTTTTAAAAGCCAGTCAGGCCAATGTTATGCTTCCAATGATGACGGAAATGATAAGGACAGGAAGTAAAGGCTAAGAAAGTTGATTTAACAATTTGGATGCACCTCAGAGTTGGCTGCGGACAGCCAGTGAAACAACACACTGTTTGTTTTTACTTTTTAAAGCTCATCTGGGCTTAATTTCAAACAGAGGATTAAATATCTACGTTCAAACTATTATCTGGACTTAAACATGAGACTAGTCTGAACTGAAGTGGTCTATTCATTTATAAGGTAAGGTAAAACACTTTCAAATGTGCTTTTACAAACATTTGTGTTTTTGTATGAGCAAACAAGGCAGACACAAAACAAACTAAACAAATTGTGAATATGCCTCTCTGTAGGTCCGGTTGATTTGGATGAAGTCAGTGCCTCACCATTCACCAACCTCACCGCACGTCACTGGAAACTACATATAAACAATGAAAACGTCACTAAGTTAGGAATACCAAACATTTACAGTGTATCTCTTTGTTTAAAAGACGGTTGCTTGACAACTGAAGGATTTTATCTTTACACTTTTTAAATGCATTGTTCTTAACTTAATCCCTTGTCTGATTTTGTTGTTTTAATGGTTTTGATTACTTGTGTGATTTTAATGTTTTAAATACCTTTGTGATATTGGTGTTATTTGTGATGATTTGTGGCTTGTGTGATTGTGCCTGTGAAGTGCTGTGTGTGAAAGGCGCTCTATAAATGAAGATAGATTGTTTGAGTGTACTAAATTGACTTGTAGAGTTAAAACTGGGAACAACCTCAAACCAGAAATTCAAACCAGGCTTTGGGGACCAGACACAGTGATGGTTTCCTGCACTCCATGCCGTGTGCCGTGTTACTGTGGTCGTGCCCAGCCCTCTTTGACTGTTGTGCTGTGCTCCTCCCTCGCAGCTGTCCGGAGGAAGGACTTTGCCAACATGACGGGGCTGCTGCACCTGACTCTGTCCCGGAACACCATCAGTCAGATCCTGCCCGCGGCCTTCAGTGACCTGCGCCGCCTCCGAGCCCTGCACCTCGACTCCAACAGATTAACTGTGATCAAGGTTAGAAGGACCTCCCTACATTCATCACAAAGCAAATCAAGAAAAGGACCAGGCTCACGCTGCTCGGATAAGAAACATTAATTGAACTCGAGTGTGTACTGCTGCCCTTTTGCTGGCTAGAAGGATGTTGTCATACTGTTTGTACACAGAGGTGTTGGCTGATGGTGGGATAACAGAAATTAACAAGGAAAATTAATTAATTAGAGATGGGGTTAGCAGCATCAGAGGTGCCTTGAAAAAGTAGTTTTTGCATTTTTGGCACACCTTGGATAAGTGTTGGATTTGAGAATCTCAGGTGATATTGCTATGCTTTGAATTATCCAGACTGTAGCATACAGGGAAATCTCTCTCTTCCCGGTTTGCGAGCGTTTCCACCGCTTTAGCAGCTACCCGGTCCTTTTTTAGTAACTGCTTGGCCCTGGTTCTAACTGGGTCGAGTAGATACCAAAACAATCTGACGTCGGCAAACGTCAATCGTGATTGGTCAGAGGCGCTGTCATTAACTCTTAAGCTGCTGCGACAGCAGTTGAAAAACAACACAAACAAGAAGTTGCCTCAAGTTTCCTGCTGAAAACTATATAGACGTCTGTTGGGAAAACAATCCCTTGCCTCTGACCAATCACAACACGTAAAGCATGCACTAAAGTGAGTGGAAACACTCGGAAACAACATATTTTACCATAGATGATTACACTATAAGCACAGATTTTGTGTGGTTCTAAAAAATGAAATTTAGCAGTTTTTTTTTGTGTGATATATGTGATCGGTCAACCTCTCAAAATTCTGCATGGACATTTCTGAAGGACATCCCAAACAAAGAAAACCAAAAAATAGTTAAAATGTGTTATCTAAAATTTGTGACCTCTCATCACTCACCCACATTATTCTAAACCACATGGATTCTGAAGAATGGACCATGTTGGATACCATGTTTGCAGCTTTAGATGGACAGAGCCTTTTGGAGCCAGCAGGAGTCAGGGGTAAAACACGAAAGCACAGGTCAAAAGGGTGAAAATCCAACCTTTACTGTCTTTACCAAGGATCAGACAAAGTAAAGAGCTCAAGATCCAGCCAGGTCAGCAGCTCACAAGGACAATGCTGGAGAATTTGATAGAAAACGACACAAAACAACAGTGACAACGAGCGACGAGGTGTAAAGCTTATGGATTATGCAAAACCAAGTAGAAAATGCTCTGTCTGAGGCAAGGGCGTAGGTTTGCGTGGGGACCATGGGGACATGTCCCCACCAATATATGGTGAGGACTAAAAAGTCCCCACCAAAATGACATGATGTCCCGTGACCCGGACGGTCCGGGACACATGTCTTCCGTTTGTGCATACGTCGCGCCTCCTCCTCGCCTCCAGAGCAACAGCAGCAGCAGCAGCAGCACGTGACCCGTTCCGTTCTCTGCAGTGATTGGCTGTCTTCTTCAGCGCCAAACTGAAGCACTGAGCGACTGTTTAATTTTTAAAAGTTAGCCAGCGTGAAGCAAGTGTTTTTTTTTTCGTTCCCTGAGCGTTGTAGCACGTGAGTAATCAGAGGAAAGTACTGTAGATCCATTACCATTCAAAGTACTTACGTTATTTCTAATCTGTCAGCGCACTGTTTAATGTCCCGAGGAGCTCACACGGCACAGAGACAGAACAGAACTGGCTCCAATAAAGAAACAGGTTGGTTGAAAGGCTGAAAAAATACTTATTGTACTCTTACTATCCAAAATGTATAAGTGGGTGTGTTGTGTGAATCAGGATAAACTAGGGATGAAAATATTCCACGGATCCACGATTTACAACCTTTATCTGCTGATAACGTGATTTCTGTGAAATGTGTGACAGCACTTATTTGCTCTAAGCACATTCAAGCGATGAACTCGAATGTGCACGTCCTGGTGCAGCTGCTGCCGCTTTGTAATGACAGCCGCGGCGCTCAGTGAAAGCACAGCTCTAACATGGTACCGAGCTCGGACCATATGCAGACAGAACCATGTTGCAAGTGCGGGTCTCCCTCGTATCTCCCCCGTTTCTCCCCTGTGTCTCTGACATGTCTCTCCCCTGACTCTTCCCAAAGCGCAACCAGCGCTCCCGAAATTAAAGCTCGGATACCTAAATTTTCCATTGCGTTAACGATGCATGCTGGTTGTGCGCAAAACACACCACAACAGGTCATTTAAGTTTTTATTTTGCTTGAGAGCCCTGTGAGTCATTACTTGCCTTTTTGGGTTGAGAGTGGAATAAAAAAAGAAAATATAGACAAATCCACACTGTTACTTATTGCCAAACTCTTGTTAACTCATTGTATTGAGAAATACTATGTAACTTTTGACATTGGCCAAGTTATATAAATGATTCTGCAGTTCATGTATATGAATGTCTGTTTTTGATTTTCTATACCTTCTTATATAATTTAGAAAAAATGCCACCTCTACAAAAAAAGATAAAAGATATCAGGAGCTTTTTTAACAGTTGGAAAGTAAGTAAGAGAAAGCACAAGTAATAGCAAATTATGAATTGTGATGATTAATCTTCTGTTAACATACATAGGAAACTCAACCAACAAGAGAACAATATAGGGAATGTTGAGGTAGAAGCAACAGGCCCTTCAGTGCATCAGGTGAGGTTGGAATTTTGTAGGTATGCATGGGACTATGAATTGTTTTTAGAGATTGATCGTATATGTCAAACAATGTAGTGAGCTACTCACTGTAGATTCTAATTCAATATTTTCTCCTCTGACTATTAGAACAAATCCTTAACTGCTTCTCATTCAGTCTACAGCTGAGTTTAGTATAGAAGGCAACACACTATTGCAAATATAGTGTGTGATTACACAACAAATTCTGGGGGAGAAACTCTGGACCCCGTGTCAATGGGTGTAGACTCAGGTCGTAGTGAATGTCCCCACCAAGATTGGAACCAAACCTACACCATTGGTCTGAGGAAATATCTTCATGAGAAGGAAAGATTTTGGCAACATTTTCAAATGCTACGGCTTGGTGTTAACATTTTCCCCAATTCAGGTTATTCTATTTTTAAACACTATGGCAACAGTTCTAATTCATATTTAATTTAGCAAATCTATGCCGTAGACTTATATTTTTGCAACTTTCATTAAACATAAAAAATTGCTTCATGCCTGTAACAATAATTACTGTGGCCGATTTTAATTTTTAAAATGTTCTGCTGGCAATAGCAGACGCATTTTGAAGCTTTTTTTCTTATCTACATTTATATATAAGTGTAAACTACATCAGACTTTGCATTCAAAAGATATAACACATAATATGGGCACAAAATCACTTCCGAAAAAGTTTTTTACCCTTGGGCTTGTGCTGCATAAATAAATCAGATCTCCTCCCAGCTTCCAATACCTCTTTCTCTCTGGAACTGTCCATTGAAAAATAATATCCACTTGTATTTCCCAAAGTATAATCCATTCTGGAGAAATAAACAAAAAATGTGCATTCATCTTTAGCGAAAAAAAAGAGCCTGCTCTTTCACTCTTAACGGACCTTTAGCTTGGTTTTCCACCCAAACACATGGTATCCACGTGTTCCCTAGCTCCATCCATCCATCCATTTTCTTCCCCTTAATCCATTTCTGGGTCGGGGGGGTGGCAGTCAGAGCTGCACCCAGTCACAGAGCACCAGCCCCTCACTGATCCTCCTGCAGGTGGTGAGTCCACAGGAGCTGAGATTTTTCAGCAGGGCTTCAGGCAACGCGGGGTAAAGTGTCTTGCCCAAGGACACAACGACAGCAGTCATCAGTGGGAGTCGTGAAGTAGGTCTTATGGTGGGCTCGAACCCACGACCTTCAGGCTCTAAGGCCAATGCTCTACCAACTGAGGGCTTTTTTGCGCATGGGTGACTGAGCTTTGTTGTCTTCCGTACTCCTTAGGATGTATTTCCTGGCCGAATGATTGACATGTCCGTGTAGCCAATGAGGAAAGCTTTCTATTTTGTGCCAGTAGAAGTGTGCTTAATGGCAGTCAAAAGACGCTCTCGAAGCCGCAATGAATTTAGACTCATACAAAATTAACTTTGACGTAAAAAAAAAAAAAAAACTTATAAGTACCAATAATAAAAAATATGTTTTTTATGATGATTAAAGTGATAGTCTGTAACTCTAAATGAATTACAAATTTTAGGAAATGTGCTGAATTGACCTCCTGGCCTTAAATGTTGATATAAAATAAGTCATTTTATTAATTCTAATATTACGGGTAAGTCCCGCCTTCCCTGCTCTTAGCTATAGTTCAGAATCCACGGTGCCGTCGAGGTTAACCAATCGAGTCATGCCAAGGGCTGTCAATCATCGGCGCTGATGCTCGCAGCTGCGCGCATGCGCAGTTGTTTGTTTTTGCGGCGCCTCCGAATCAAGCCTCTATTAGGCTCTGGAACAACATGAAAACTGAACAAAGAATTCTGAACATCCACGCTGAGGTACTTATGTATATTCTGAACCTATATCCATGATCAGATCCTCTGCAGATGTGTCCTATAATGTGCACTTCCTGGTTTGCCGCGATCGCTATTTTTGTGCATAAAAACATTATTTTTTTCATTAAAACGTTCACAAATAATTCTGAAAACCTCCGTGCATGTGTATTAATAATGTATATGTATAATGTGTTCTCTGATTAACATTTCAAAGTGTTACGGAAACGTAGGTGTAGACCAATCAGAAAGGAAGGGGGAGGGAGCTTGCATCGTTTTTTTCAAATCAAGTACCTCTCTGTCTCTCTTTCTGACAAACTCCAGACAATCACTTTAAATATCAGTAAAGCAATTTGGCTCAATTTGGCACAGTTGTGCCAAATTGGTTCCGAATGGCACTACTTGATGAAAAGGAGAAACTGCATAAAAACTGTAAAACTTAGAAGTCTGAAACTTTAGGCAGTTGTTGTCAACAACACAATGACCATAGGGTTTGAATATTGTGAACTTACAATGAAGTATGCCTTTTTAGGGCCTTTAGAAATTGAATATTTTTATTATTATTGATATATGAATTGTTTTTTTTTAAATTCTGTCTGCTGTGTTTTTGGCTGTTTAGGATGACCATTTCAAAGGCCTCACCAACCTGCGTCATCTCATCCTGGCCAACAACCAGCTCCACTCCATATCACCCCATGCCTTCGATGACTTCCTGGGCACGCTGGAGGACCTGGACCTCAGCTACAACAACCTGATGGAGGTTCCCTGGGAAACCATCGGACGCCTCACCAACGTCAACACTTTGAATATGGACCATAACCTCATAGAGAATGTGCCTCAAGGAGTTTTCACCAACCTCCACAAACTGGCCAGGTACCGCAATGTTCAAATCTACAAATATAGACAGACTAGTATGAGCTATGATTGCCTCCATGTTTACATTATTACTGCAAAAAATGACACAAAATGAGGTAATACTTGCTTTAATCAAGTGGTTTTTATCTTAATTTGAGTACATTCTGGCAAGAATTTCCTCATATTTTTAATGTTTTTAAAACAAGATCATTTTACTTGTCCCATTGGCAAATCTTGTATTGTATGTATTCAAATTAAGATTCATTTAGCCATTTTTTTGCAATTATGACTTAGTTTGATAACGACTTGCCTCCCATTTAGATTTACCCGATTGGCTTATTTGTACATTACCTGTTGCTACATATAAAATGTTGTGAAGCAAATGTCAATCCAGAACCCAGCCATTTATTTATACAACACAAACTTTTCAATCGAATGGAAATTTTTGGCAGCACCTTCACGCTTCCCAGCCAGAAGGTCCTGGGTTCCATTCCAGGTCGCTACAGTTCTCCCTGTGTCCGCATAGGTTTCCTCTGGGTGCTCCTGTTTGCCCTATCACTAATAACAAGTACAAAATCCTCAGCTTGAACAACTGGAGAGAGGGCCCCAGGTGCTTCCTTACGGTGACCACGGCTTCTGACAGAAACCCTCATGGCAGTGCAGGATCGGTCAAATGCAGAGGACATAAGTAAATTAAACTTAACGTGAGGTCTTATTTCACATTCTAAAACATGAAAATAAATAGCCTCATTATAATTTTCAACGGCACAACAAATGCAGACTATTTATTCTTAAAAAAAAAATTTATGGAAAAATAACCATTGGGGACGAAATTACAGAAAAGTTGTAGCCTCCCGGAGACAATAAAAATCAGCTTTAATAACATTGTCAGCAGTGTGACATGCTTTCTATGGATGACTTCCTCTCCTCACATAATCCTTTTCCTTTCGCAGGCTTGACATGACGTCTAACAAGCTAAAGAAAATCCCCCCGGATCCATTGTTCCTGCGAATCCCGGTTTACGCCAAGTCCAGAGGCTCACCCCTGTCCTCGCTGGTGCTGAGTTTTGGTGGGAACCCTCTTCACTGTAACTGTGAGCTGCTGTGGCTGAGGAGGCTGACCCGCGAGGACGACCTGGAGACGTGCGCATCTCCGCCCGATCTGAGCGCCAAGTACTTCTGGACCATTCCTGAAGAGGTTAGGCTCATGCTGGTTTATTACATACTGGTTTACACACAAGTTGTCGACATGATTTGACTTTCTCTGTTTGCTTTTCTCTGGAATTGCAACATTAGTAATGCTGGGGTACCTAACTATTTTGTTAGATAATACAACAAAATCTAGCAGAAAGAGTCTTGTAAAAGTGAGATGTTGTGATCATACAAAACATTTATCTTTTGAACAATTGTTGGAAATGACTCACTATGTTTCGCTTTGGCTGAGGGTGTCTGCAAAAAGCTGATCCAAAGATGTGGCAGAGGCCAACAAAGATAAGAAAATGTATGTGTAAACTACTGGTATGAAGGAACTACTGTAGTTAGATGGATTTCAACAAATACTTACATTTTGTAGTTGCTCCCCATAGCAAGCTTCTAACCATGTTGTAAAATTCTCCCCTGAAAAAAAAACCTTCAACTTGTTCTTTACAAATCAAACCCACTCCATTTCGAGCTGACAAATTATAAATAGTTTAGGCATGCTTATACATTTGGCCTCTGTCAGTTCTTTGGATGAAATCTGAAAAATTAAAAATAGAGGACCACCCTCTCAGCCAATCTGCTCCGAGCTCAAATGGCATCAACTCGTGACTCACGGGATTCTTTCTAACAACTATGCAAAAGATGATGACACTTTTTTTTTTTCATAAATACACACTAATCATTTTGTGGTTTGAAGGGGTAATATTATACTTTAAATGACAACAAAGTAACTTATTCTAAACTGTATAAATATGTTCCTTATAATGCCCTCTAGATGTTCTGGTAAATTTTCGGGGAAGTTAGATAGAATCTCACCTTTGAGCCTAAAACCGTTTGTGTGGCGCCCTCTCTACATTTTTGGTGGCGCAACATTTGGATTTTGGGCCTGGCGGAGAGGCCAGGCCCAAAATCCAAATGTTGCGCCACCAAAAATGTAGAGAGGGCGCTGTGTGACTTTGCTTTGTGCTGAGTGACGTCCAGAATAAAGTGGCCCGCATCTTTCAGCTTCATGGTAAAGCGGCCCGCATAGGGAAAAAGATGGTGTATGTTTTGCTGACTACTTTCGGTACTTGCAAAACAGCCTTTTAGAGTCTCATCAAACAGAAAGCGCGTCCACTTTTGTCCCTATCACCTAATTTTACTTTGAAAAAGACTGAGGATCTTGTGCAAAATGTTGTTCAAAGTATTTATTGATTACCATGCCCACGCCCAACTCTAACCCCCCCTTCCTGCTCCCTGGTCCGCCGGGCAAAACACCCTTTTTAGAGAGAATTTTCCAATTTTCATGTGGGCGGAGCAAGGCTGGGCACTGATGTTTAGTTGATCTTTTACAGGACTCAAAATGTTGGGTCAAACGATCTGTATAAAAGGCCATAACTTTGTCTATTCCCTTCACACTCAGTTTCAATCATGTAATCTGTACTCACAAAGCAATCACATATGGATTCATTGATTGAACCTGAAATCTGCAGATGGATGATTTAGCGTTGGCTTTTCGGAACATCACTGCAGTGAGTGACTAAGCTCGGATAATTGCAGTATTTGTCAATATGGTTTTAGCCACGCTGCGTAATCTCCAACCAGCGTATAAATAGTCATCAAAATGTTGTTGTTTCAGGAATTCATCTGTGATCCCCCAGTCCTGACCCGTAAGTCTCCTCAAACCATGGCGATGGAAGGCCAGCACGCCAGCCTCAAGTGCAAAGCCAACGGAGACCCAGAGCCAGAGGTGCACTGGATCAGCCCCGAAGGCAGACTCATATCCAACACCTCCAGGTACTCCAGCCCCTCCACGACCTCTGCAGTACCGTACTCTCTAACGGTATACCAAGATCAAAATCAATATATATCATTCAATCAACTTTTAATTGTAGAGCGCCTTTCCTACACAAAGGCAACACAAAGCACCTCACAACCCATATCACATCAAGCATCAATCATTAAAATTAAAATCTACATAAAAAATAAATAAAAAACGGTTAAAATCCCACAGGACCCCGCAGGACAAATCACACAGATCACAAGAAATACATAATTAAAACATATAAAAGTAAAATCACACAAGTAATTAAAAACGTTAAAACATTCAAATCACACATGGGATTCAAAGCATAAATAGCCACAGTGCATTAAAAAGATAAAAAATATAATCGTCTCCTCAGTAGTTCTCATGCGGAGTTAGTATTTTGAATAATTCAGGATTTTTTGAGGAGTCGGATTAGCAATTTACAGTTTGAAACTATCACACATACACACGCGTTGACACACACACTCAACGTTGCATGGTCTTGTGGTAATACACTTTTTTCAACATGACAAATCATAAAAAAGTGGATGTACATTCTTGAATTGGCTTTGAAAACAGGCGCACCATGTCTGAAATAAGAACTTAATCAATCACAGCCAGCAATGACACAAATCAATATTATGTAATGACGAATGTTTCTTGATCCATGAGTGAATCTTATTGGACGACATTCAATTTATGCATAAAACAAGATAAATTACAATTATCAATAGTTCTCTGTTTAATAGCTGCTCCAAATATTGAAAAATCACAGGGAATTGGACACTGAATAATTCAAAGGTGTTCCTTCAGCCTAAGGAGGAGTGAGAGCGGCTGGAACCAAACGAGCTCCTGCTTCCGTCTGTCTATTACGATTTATATGTTTTTGAATCCTGCTTCTTGTTTTTGTTGTTTGTGCATTAAGCGATGTTGTTAGCTTAGCCGTAGCACCAACTCAAAACCACTCCCCCCTCTCCTCGCCTCTCCGCCAAGCCAAACATCCAGCATTTTCTTTTCTTTGTCACAACGTGGAGAGTGGGTGGCAAACGTGAAACTGGCATTTTCTGTTCAGCCCTTTTAGGTTTTAGAAAATAATCTGATTGAAACAGGAAGAGGGTGAAGGGGGTAAACGCATCCCATTGGTTCGTTGGGGATGAACTAATCCCATTGGTTTATTTGTATCGGGCCGCTCCAAAATATTTTTGTATTAATTTTTTGAGACTATAGACATCTGGTCGGTTCCATTACTATTTGAAAACACATGATAACTTGACTACTTTTAGGATTTAGGGACCATTTCCCACAATATTAGAAAAAATGTGTCTGGAAAAAATCACTGACTGCATCTTTAATTTAGAAATAAAATAAACTGCTTCTACTTTAGGAACCATATAAAGGGTATCAGACAAGCGATCCAAGACAGCGCTGTATTCAAATGAATGGTTTGTGCTCAGTGGCGCATGTGCCGGTGTTCTGTCGAGTTGGTCTGCCGTCAAGATGTGCTCCCTCAGCTGTTTATGCGCATGCGCTTCTCACGGCAGCCGAAGCAATACAAGATGGCGGACATGAAGTCCGCGAGTTTTGTAAAAAGTTTAAATACCAACGAATAAAGACACAAATGTCACTTTTAATGCAATTTGAGGCGAGATGTTGATGGTTCCATGGTGTTATATGTGGGTTTTAGGAGTCAAAGATTCGTGTAAAGTTTGGTTTAAGTACTAACTGCTGCTGTGCACCTTTCCTGTCAAGACGTCAGTAAAATGACGTAGGCGGATGACGCGTCCTGTGGCTAACTCGACAGCTAATAGCTTCCAACTTAAGAGTTTGGTTATTATTTCCATTATCAACCCAAAAGGCCAGTCGGGTTGGAAGTTGGAGCAGGTGCCAATGGAGCAGAGTTTGTGGCACTAAAGTGTGGGTTTAAAAAAACCGAAGGATTTAAGAAGAAAAATAATTTGGGATGACAAGGGACACTAAAATCCCCACAAAATCCAACCTTTATGAAAACTGTCAGCTGAGGTCGAGCTGTTTTAGTTTACATTGAGTTCTATGGGGAACATTTCTGGGTAGCCCGCATGAATTTAGTCTGGTTTAGTCTGCAGAACCACGAGAATCCCCCGAGCACGTCCTTCAGCACCAAGCTAGTAATACCCTATCCAGTTATTATAATAGATCCATGGTGTCAGACCGTGTGTGTTGTTTGAGTGTGCGTGTGTGTCTGTACAACCACAAACAAACACAAAAAGTTAAAGGTAAAGTTTATCTCCAAGATCCACTGTTGGAGACAATTGTTTTGGATCAATCCTATTTGATGTACTGTTTGTGTTGTTGCACAATAGAGGCCTCAACAGGATGTAGACCATTATATAGGCCATGGTGGTTGTGTTAGTGTGGTGAGCTTTCCCATGTCGTTCAAAAGATCCCTTTGTGACCCATTAGAGGTTGCCATCTGGTAACCTTACTGGCACGACTTGTCAACCATGTGCTCCATATGCAGCATAATGACGTATAAATATTGTAGTAAGGTCATTGCGGAGGTGTGCATGGGCAAGCAGATTCTTCCAGTTTAATTACTACTACATCATGTGACGCACACACTCTCTCACACACACACGCACACACACACACGCACACACACACACACACGCACACACACACACGCACACACACACACTCACACTGTACTTACAAAGCCAGAAAACTCTTTATATGGTCATAAGAAATTTAATTATTTGAACCCCCTCGAAACCAGAGTGGCCTTTACAGCTATCCCCTGACGATATAAATGGAGATCTTGAGGAATAGGTTTTGTTCATGATCTAAAATTCTATTTAAGTTGGAGGGAGGTGCCATTTTTTTTTTTTAAGAAATTGTGACAAGGAAAATGTCCAAATGTGTTCCCAGATCATTATTCAGATAGTGATAGATTCATAAAGTTGCTGTGTTTGTCACGTATAAACAAGGAAGGACCCAAAACCAGAACTGCAAAAATAATATAATTTAATTAATGCCACAAAAAAGTAATAAGCTTCAAGCAACAAGCAACAGGACAATCAACAGGAAAGATAGGAAGTAAAACTCAAACTCAACAAGAGAACATATTTATATATCAGAATCAGAATCAGAATCATTTTTATTGCCACGTAAGTAACAGGAGGTCACAGACTTGGAAATTGCTTTGGCTCAGTGCAACAGTCAAAAAGAGATAATAAAAATAAGAATAAAAAACACTTCTAAAGAATAAATTTAAATTTAAAATAGAGTTACAGTTACTATTTACAATATACAAGTGCACATGGTGCACACAATGTAAGGTGACAGCAGTACAGTGAAGTAAAGTGACGTATGATGGGCAGTAAAGTGACTTTATAAAGGGCGGGGGGACAGGTTAAGAAGTGTTCAAGAGTCCAACAGCAGAGAGGAAGAAACTGTTCTTGTGGCGGGAGGTTCTAGTCCTGATGGACCGCAGCCTCCTGCCTGAGGGGAGTGGTTGGAATAGTCCATGTGCAGGGTGAGAGGGGTCGGCTGTGATACGACCAGCCCGGCCTCGAGCTCGGGCGACGTACAGGTCCTGCAGCGATGGAAGGCTGCGGCCGATCACTTCCTCTGCAGAGCGCACAATGCTCTGTAGTCTCTGTTTGTCCCTGACTGTGGCTCCAGCGAACCACACGGTGATGGAGGAGGTGATGGAGGAGGTGATGGAGGAGGTGAGGATGGACTCGATGATGGCCGTGTAGAACTGCAGCTTGGCTTTCCTGAGCTGCCGCAGGAAGTACATCCTCTGCTGGGCCTTCTTGATGAGGGAGCTGATGGTCGGCTCCCACTTGAGGTCCTGGGTGATGGTGGTGCCCAGGAAACGGAAGGACTCCACAGAGGTGATGGGGGAGTCCATCAAGGAGGGTGGGGGTGGGGGGACAGTGCTCTTCCTGAAGTCCACAATCATCTCCACTGTCTTCTGGGCGTTTAGCTCCAGGTTGTTACCACTGCACCAGGACACCAGCCGGTCCACCTCCCTCCTGTAGGCAGACTCATCGTTGTTGGAGATGAGTCCAATGAGGGTGGTGTCGTCCGCGAACTTGATCAGCTTCACGGAGTCGTGGCTGGAGGTGCAGTGGTTGGTGTACAGAGAGAAGAGCAGGGGAGAAAGAACACAGCCCTGTGGGGCTCCTGTATTTATAAACCGAGAGTCCGAGACATTCTTCCCCAGACGCACTCGCTGCTTCCTGTCCGTCAGGAAGTCAGTGATCCACCTGCAGGTGGAATCGGGCACGTTGAGCTGGGAGAGCTTGTCCTGGAGCAGGGATGGCAGGATCGTGTTGAAGGCAGAGCTGAAGTCCACGAACAGGACCCTGGCGTAGGTCCCCGGGGAGTCCAGGTGCTGTAGGATGTGGTGGAGGGCCAGGTTAATGGCGTCGTCTACAGATCTGTTGGCTCTGTAGGCGAACTGCAGGGGGTCCAGGAGGGGGGAGGTGAGGGATATATATATGTGTATATATATAAATAAAACCAGCTATAACAAAACACCATGTCGATTCTATTCCATACTTGGCCACTTCCACACACCTGTGATAGAAAATAATTTGTGGAGCTTTTTGACGTTTTTGTTTCATGTGGATTGGCCCAGGAAGAGGAGAAATCAGCTCTAAATAAGAAATCTCACTTTTGTCAGATACCATGGTAACCCGGAAGAATTTTTCAGCGGTCTTCCACCACAATTTTTAATTACCGGCTCTTTGTAAAGTTGAATTCCGCCTATTTTAGAATTACTCAAGGCTTAAGTTTGAATATTTGTATGCAGCCATACTTTGCTCCCACACATTTTGTGCAATGACAATGTCTAATTCAACCTAAAAGAAAAGTCTGTTGCCATCAGTGCTTTCATTCCAATTGAGAATCTGTGTCCGCTGCCTTGGTGATTACTGTATTTTATTATGTAGGTGATAATCATATAGAGCTATTGTGAGGCTTAAAAACACACATTAATTCTGTTTTACGTATATTGAGAAGCACATGTGTTTTTTTATCACAGCCAAATGTTAGGTAGCTTATGTTAGGAATAATTGGTTTCCACCCTTTTTTTACTGAAGGTCGGCACACGGAGTGATCTATTCATTCCCATGTGATGTGAGCGAAAGGTTAAGGGAATCCGAAAACCTGGCAGACCTCAGTAATAATCATTTTAGCACTGGGAGCACTGCATGGTTTAAGAAGAATATCTAAAATGTGATAATTCTCTGGCTTTATTCCATTCCAAAAGATAGAATAAAGATGGTATTTCAGTACAGATTGAAAAAACATACTTTATGTGTCCACCTCTTGGGATTTAACTAGCTTCACTTAAGAATGCGTCTCGTCAAATTACGTGTGTCCTTGACTAATGATTGCTTTGCTGTAGTTCTTGTGTCATATCTGAGTTTGCTCATAGAAATATGCATTTTCAATTAGCCGTAATACCATCTGCATAGAGACAACTCTCAAATGCTGCAAATACGTACACACACACACACACACACCCCCCCACACACTCACACACACACACCCATACAGAAAGACACAGTACTTTCAAACAATGACATACACATACACTCACGCACAGAGACGATGCACCCACCTACACACAGACAAAGATACACACCCTTACACACAGTCACAGGCGCACATAGTACACACATGTACACACACATACAGACACAGAAAGGTGCACATAAGCAATGGAACACACATACACTCACACACATAGACAATGTACACACCTATACGCACATAGACAATGATACACAGGTACACACACTTACAATGCGCACACCTATACGCACAAACACGCACACACCCATAATAGCACACCTGCACACATACACACATATACACACAACAGCACACACACATACACTCACACACATTCATATAGCTCCACCTTCTGTGTGTGTTTCAGAACCATGGTCTACCCAAACGGAAGCCTGGAAATCAATGGCACCACCGCAAAGGATGCTGGGAACTTCACCTGCATAGCCTCCAATGCCGCGGGCGAGTCGACGGGCCGGGTGGAGCTGGTGGTGACCGCGGTGCCCCATCTGGCCAACAGCACCAGCCGAAGTCGGGACCCTTCCTCCGCGGATCAGGCCCCCTCCGACATCCTCACCTCGTCGAAGGCCGCGTCGCCTAGCAACGAGACCAGGGGGGCGGATAAGAGAGTGACATTGGTGGAGCTGACGGGAAACTCCGCCCTGATCAGGTGGAGCAGCCAGACGCCCATAACGGGAGTGAGGATGTTCCAGGTCCAGTACAACAGCTCCGGAGACGACACCTTGGTCTACAGGTCTGTACCCGGGGTTTTCTATCACGCTTTTTGGCTTTAAATATGTTGTGTTTGTTGTGAGGCTGGTTTGAAATAGAATAATAATAACGCACTTGTCGACAGCCGCTTTGACGATGCATCATGACAAACTCCTACCAAGACGTACACTTATTTTTTTCAGGAGTGATGATTTGATTTACCCCAGTGCAAATGTGTTGTAAAAGCAGCTAGAAGTAGAAAGAAATGTCAGTGTTTTGGCCTCAATTTGGAGAAATATGACCAAATAAGTCTGTTTTCTATTATCAAACTATAATCAATACATTGAGCCTGTCTGGGGAGATCTCAAACTGGCAGTTCATGCATTTCAGTCGAGGAATTTACAAGAACTGCAAGTCTTTTTGCCAAAAAGAATGTGGAGCTTTACCATCAGAGAGAGGATAAAAGAACCTCATTTGCTATTATGACAAAAGACTCCAAGCTGTCATACTGTAGATGGAGGATATACACGCTCAGAAACGGCAGATGGAAACTTCTAATCAGCGTCATTTGAGCAGTTTCTGTTGTTGTTATACATTTCAAGTTGAAAACATTATTATTTGACAGTGGATTCACACACACCGCTAACAATGAGTGGGATACAGTGTTTGTTAGTATTAGCCATGTTCTCCCAAAATACGGCCTTTTTACTTTACAAATACTGTAATCTGGGTTAGTGTTATCTGAGTTGCATAATGTGACAAATGACAGTGGAATATGCAACTGTGAGGACCACTTTTGTCCTGCTGAAAAGGCTTTTAAATGAAGCTGCTTTGTGATGATTTTAAGAAAAAGCATTAGCACAGGGCTTTTAAGATCAAACTATGCATCTTCTTTTCACATTTCACATTAGTCGTCGTACTTGGACACGGGAAGTATGGTATCGACACGTACTGTATCTACTCTACACTCAACTTTTTTTATGAAGTGACATTTTTAAGGTTGTCAAGTTCATTTAGTGTTTAGTTCCAATGTTTCTTGTATAGATAGCGATATAAGGACTCGGAAATATGTATTTTCACAGATGATGATGATGATGATGATATAAAACTCTTGCCGATATACTGTACAGTATGCCCCATGAAACCAATAAACCGACTGCAAAAAGTAATAGAAAAATCTCAAACTTGGCAAAAAAGTAACTTAATTGAACACATTTCGACTGCTTTAAAACAAGATTTGCCAATGGGACATGGAGAATTATCTTGTTATTAAAAAGATACTAGAAATGTCTCCCTTGGAATGAGAAAATAAAGCAAACAGTTCTGGAAATAAGACGCAATGGTTTGTTTCCTTTGGCAAATCTTGTCAGAACGTTCTCAAATAAAGATATAAATAACTAGTTTCAAGCAATTACTACCTCATATTTTATAATTTCCTGCAGTGTAATGACTGCTTCTTTACTCGAGCTACAGCACCATTATCCCTATGTTCTTGTTAATGTCTACAATTGAAGTAGTTGTACCATATTATCCATTAACTTAATTATACATTAATCCTATAATTCTCAATCCAAAGCAACACCGTACACCTCGTACTCTTATTAAATCAAGAACGCTGCGGGCGCATGTGCTGAATCTACTGTTTTATAATCTGTAAGCCGGCGTTTCGTACGAGCCTCCTCCTTTTCCCTGTTCACTTTGAAATCAGTAAATGTCATGTCTCCGCCAGAATCCCTCCCTGAGCTTTATCTCTGCATTGTGCCGTCTTTGCTGACTCCTTGAGAGAATCGTACTGTATGTGCCCGTAGATGTGTGCCTTCTGGTGTATGTAAATCTAATGTTGCTGCAGCTGGGAGCAGGAGAGGGTCTGATAAGAGGAGATTATGCCTCTGGAGTCCATGCACTTGAAGTCTAATCAGCTGAAATCATGGAGACTAGTTACAGGTCTTAAGTCTGTTTCTAATGTGTAAAGATATTTATGCAGTTGTGTGACGTGTTTACAAAATTACGCATGCTTTGTAGGCCTATAGGACGATGAGTATGCAACTTCTATAGCCAGGGTGTCCAAACGGTTTAGTAAGAGGGTCCACTTTAGCTGACCAGACTTGTCCACGGGCCGCCAACATGAATTGTGAAACTTTCATTGTATTCAGACTGATCTGAGATTCAAAATTGGTCATAATGTGTTGTTATTGACTCACACCACTGCTACCCTGGTGCCATTTTGGGACACATTGAAAAAAACAAATGTCAGTGTAAGAATAGTAGGAATACGAGAACTGTGGGGAAATTTTAATGTTGCAGCGCACATACGGGACGGTAGTAAGAGCACACAAGGAGCACACAAAGTATACAATATGAGTAGCTGCTATGTTTCTTAGCTAGCTGTAAATTCTTCAATATCATTATATAGATATTTCGATATTTATCCTTCTGTTTTTATTATTACTACATTATTACATATCCATTCATCTGATATTTATATACCTTACTGAGCTCCTACAACAGCACCAACCCACTCGCCGCCTTCGCTCAGCCAATTCCAACCTCCTCACCCCCATCACCCGCACTAACCGCCGAACCTTGGGGGACAGAGCTTTTGCCATTGCCGCCCCAACCCTCTGGAACTCACTCCCACTGCCCATTAGAAACTCTGACTCACTATCAGACTTTAAATCAGTCTCAAAACCCATCTTTTCAAACAAGCTTTTCCGTAAACCCCTTTTTATTATTGTATTCTACTCCCCATGTGAAGGGTCTTTGAGTGTCCAAAAAAGCGCTATACAAGTTTGATGTATTATTATTATTATTATTATTATTATTATTATTATATTTCTGTCATTCACTAGTCACTTTACCTGCTGCTACTGTTACTAGTGTTTATTCTGGTCATATTATAGCTCCAGAGTTTTATTTTATTCTGTTTTTTCATCTTATTACTTATTTTTGTATACATTATCATTATCTATTATCTTAAATGATAGATCCTGTTTTATGCGTGCAATCTGAGTGTTTTTATTTCCTACTTTTAATTCTACTATAATGTGCGCAATGATGACAGAGACAGACAGAGGACTAAAATCTTATTTTATCTTATCTTATATTTAAAGTTTACAGTTATATACATATAGGGGCAGGATAATACGTAGATAAAGTGACATTCAGTGGACATTCTGAATTTACAGATGAATGACATGTGCAGTCTCAGCCGTTCTCGTTGTACAGTCTGACAGCAGCGGGGCGGAAAGACATGAAAACAAATAAAGTTAATTGCCGAATACAAGTACAGCAAGCACAATGACCCTAAGGATAATCTCATTGCAATGTTATTCAGAAATATGGCCATTAAATATGTTGCTAACCCTAAATGAATCCATGCGTGTACAGTTTCCCAGAGAACAACACAATTTTGTATTATGTGAAGTGTTGAGTCGAAAACATAACTAATGCATGTTGTGAATTTCTCTAAATGTTGGCTCTTGTGGGAAATATGGACCCTCTCTGTGCAAAAAAACCCCAAGCACTGGCACCATTACCGGAGAAGCGTGTGTGGAAGCCTGGGAAAGCCCATTTATTTTCAGCTGCGAGTGAATCTCATGTTCCAGAGTTGTCATAGCAACAGTTTGGGAAAGTCTCTTAGATCTCTAGGCTATAACTGTCTCTTGGCACTACAGTAATCACACATTGATTGCAAAGCTTACTTGTTGAGCATATTATTTTTCTCTACAGACCCATAACTTTTGCTGTTTTTAAATTGGATGCATTATTGTGGGTATGGAATGGAATACATAAAACCCGACTTCAATACCTATATTTTTACATTTACATATCTTAAAATAGGTAATCCGTGTTTTAGCAAGTAAGTAAAAGTATCAATACTTTTAGACATTTATTAGTATTATTTTTTAGCGAAAGACAATAAGTTCTCCAAACATTGTTCAATTTATCCTACGGGGATCAATAAATTATCTATATCTATTTTAACATTACTAGTTGCTTTTCAAGTTCACAGCATTCGGCCTATAGCTTCTACATGGCGGGCGACAGTAGTTCAGTTGGTAGAGCATTGGCCTTTGAGCCAGAGGGTTGTGGGTTCGAGCCCGACCTTCACCATCGACTCCCACTGTCTACTGCCGTGGTGTCCTTGGCAAGACACTTAACCTCTGGGAACACCTGCTACAGTGGGGCGGCTGCGGCTGTAAAGTGCCAAACCGCCGTTGTGTCCTTAGGCAAGACACTTCACCCCCATTGCCTAGAATGAGTCTGGTGTGTGTGTGAATGGTCGGTGGTGGTCGGAGGGGGCGATGGCGCATACTGGTTGCCTCGCTTCTGTCGGTGTGCCCCAGGGCAGCTGTGGCTACAGTAGTAGTTTATCACCACTGTGTATGGAGTGAATGAATAATGACATGTGAAGCGTCTTTGAGTGTCCAAAAAAGCACTATATAAAACCGATGCATTATTGTTACGTGCTTTGTTTTATTCTGATATCCATCCATCCATCCATTTTCTTCCCCTTAATCCATTTCTGGGTTGGGGGGGTGGCCAGAGATGCCACCCAGTACACAGAGCACCAGCCCCTCACTGATCCTCCTGCAGGTGGTGAGTCCACAGGAGCTGAGATCTTTCAGTGGGGGCTTCAGGCAAAGTGGGGTTAAGTGTCTTGCCCAAGGACACAACGACAGCAGTCATCAGTGGGAGTCGTGAAGTAGGTCTTACGGTGGGCTCAAACCCACAACCTTCAGGCTCAAAGGCCAATGCTCTACCAACTGAGCCACTGTCGCCCCTGTCGTTATTCTGATATGATCTGCTATAATAGTTTGTGCAAATGTTTTTAAAAGTATAAAAAAAAAATACTTATGGAATGATTACAATACTTTTACTTTTACCAGAGTTGATTTTTAATCGAGCTTCTATACCAGGGGTGTCAAAACCTTTTTTATGAGAGGGCCACTTTAGATCCCCAGAGATATCCAGGGGATGTTTCTATCTTCTCTAGCACTGTCTTTCCTCTGGCGTTATTTCAGTCCATCACGTCTAAGTGTGGTAGTGAGGTAGAGCAATTATTGGTGCACTCATTACATTG